AGAAAGTGCCACTTCAGTTTCAGCTGCACCACCTTTATTTTGCTTTATTTTAGTTATTACTTATTTTTATTTTACTTTATTGCATATACGGTTTTAAGTAATTACATGGTGTTTTTCTACCAGATCCACATTTTAAAATGGGGATAAATTATACCGTTCATTTCAGCAGCTATTCAATATTTTATTCATGTTCTGTGCATGACCTATTTAAGTTACACTGTATTTCCCATTTTGACTTAATATACTCAGTGGCTTTTCCATATAATTCTAATTATCATAGTGTTCATTTTTTGTAAACGCTAATTGTCACAATATCCCTTCAGAATGTGTTATCCTTTCATTTAGTGATTTGAACCAGCCTTCCCCCCACCCCCTCCAAAAAAAGAAAGAAAGAAAGAAAAGAAGTAGTTGTCCTATTCGAGGTGTTGGTACCTGCATTTCTGAGGTTGTTTTATGATGTACTGTCCTCATTCAACGCACAGCCCTTGCAGAAGGCAGTCACAGGGCAGTTACTATTTGTCTATCCCAAGGAAGGGACCCAGCTGAATCCACATGAATGCCAGTGCCAGAACAAAGGAGGCAGAAGCAAGCAGGCAAATACAGGGCCCTACCCCTTCTGCAGAAGCACGAACTTCTGCTGCAACATAAAGCAAGAAGCTTGACTTAAAGACCAAGATTAAACATTCCAGGCACAAAGATACAACCCCCTTCTCCAGGAAAGTCTTCTTTCAACCAAATTGTACAAAAAACAACCAAAGTAACCAAACAAAAAACAATCACAGGTCTTCTCCAATGCGAATATCAAGGTAGGTCCATCAGCTGTAGAAGTGCAACCCTATGGAGCCAGTACTTCATAATACATTTGTGCAAAAGAGTTAAATTAAGATTATACAACAGCAAGTGCGGTAAAAGGAGAGCTGCAAAGATTCCCCCCCCCCGCCTCAAGCAGTTCATTTAGAAATGAACCACAAGTGATCTTTTAATACAGTAGTTAATATATAACAGCATGAAGTTTCAGAAAGAGAATTTGCCTGTAATTACCCACCTTAAAAATGGGGAAAATGAAATAGGAAGCAGTGAATCAAATAAAATACATATCTTTAAGGTGGTGCACTTTGTTGGTTGCTAGCCATTAATGGCTTCGCTATGTAAGTACAGTTACCCCAGATATTAATAACAAAAACACTCCTGTCAGGTACTATCCCTTAAGTTCCAGTTTCATGTGCATTCCATTTTATTTTACACTTCAATTTCCAACATGAAACTGCTAACAGCCAGCCCCAAACAAGAAACTGCAAGAATACAAGTTTGTGCACATAACCAACTGGCAGGAGACAAAAATGTCCTTCTTCTTTTGTGCCAGTGCATTGAATAAGAAAAATGAATGATGAAAAAAAAAAGTATCCTTTCTGATAGGTCTCTTCTTTTTCTAAAACAAGATCTCGATGGTCTTACATATAATAAGTAACTAGAAAACAAACAAGCAAAATCAGATTCAGATCATGTTTACTCATCAGAGTATCATTATATATATATAAAAAAACCCTGATATATATGCAAGCTCCTATAGGCCTCTATTGAGCCACAGCTCCTTGATAAAACAAATCAAAGCAACACAGCCAAAATCAATATGAATTCCTAGCTGACACGCAAACACACACACACAAGTGTATTATTTACATATCAGCAATTAACTGCCCATTTCACTGAAAGGTCCTTGTAGGGAGCACATATTTTCAGGTTATGTTGAAGACTAACTTTCCAAAATCTGCCCACAGCTCTGGAGAACAGGCAGAGAGGACAAACAGCCCATAGGGAATAAAGTGCATTTGACAGCAGAACTCTAGCATGCAATGGGAGATACCAGGTATCACCTTTTCCCTCGGGCACGCAAAGCAGTTATCCAAGCAGCTTTGAGCAGCTGCCATGGACGCACTGAGTGCTGAAGGGACTTGGGGAAGGACAGGGGAGAAACAGGAACGCGTCTCTGAGCTTTGAGAGATCGGATGGCCGGGAGGCACCGCGGCTCTGTGCCATGCGGGTCAACGACAACCTCTCCGCCTCGGAAAAGGAAAGGAAGGAAGGGAAGGGGGTCCCCGACAGGCGAGACGCGGCCTAGCAGGCCTCGCGGCGGGGGAGGGGGCCGGCGGGCAGGGGGGTGCGGCGCGGCGCACTCACTCGGGGGGAAAGAGCCGCAGCTCCTCGATCTTTCCCAGGAAGCCAAACAGCGTCCGCATCTGCTCGGAGCTGGCGCTGGGGGAGACGTTGGTGACCTGGATCACGTCGGTGCCGCTGCTGGAAGCCATCGCGCCGCCGCCCGCTCCGCTGCTGCAAGCACACCGGGAGAAAGGGAAGGAGAGCGCGTTAGGGGTGACCCAGGCCCGGCCG